GTCTGTACGCTCTGCTCTCTCACTGCGCCTGATGAAGAGGCTACATTCCGAAAGCTTGTGTGATTTCAAATAAACCTGTCGGACTATAACCCGAGTTGTGTGACTTCTGACTTCATCCTCCCTAAATACAGCTGTAATGTTATCCTTAATCAAAAACATCATTTCCCCCTCCTCTCTTGCTCCCCTTTCTATCTTTCCTATAGCATCTATACCCTGGAACATTAAGCTGCTAGTCCTGTCCATCCCTGCGCCACGTCACATGTTCCCAACCATGCCCCGAGTTCTTCTGCCTTACCTGTTAAGTCTCTTGCGTTGAAGTAACTACAGTTTAATTTATCAGTCCTACCTCGTTCTCTGCTTTGTTTCTGCCTGCCCTGACTGTTTCACTTACTCCTTTTCCCAGCTGTATCAGTCTCAGACTGCTCTCTTTCCTCATTATCTCCCTGGGTCCTCCCCACCCCTTAGTAGTTTAAATCCTCCCAAGCAGCTCTTGCAAACCTCCCCGCCAGTATATCAGTCTCCTTGCAATTCAGGTGCAATCTGTCCTTCTTATACAGGTCACTTCTACCACAGAAGAGATTCCAATGATCCAAAAACGTTTAAAGTTTTTGAGAAGATTCGTAGCTTGTGTTGTGGGTGAGGTTGCAGACTTGCTCGCCGAGCCAATGTGTTTGATTGCAGATGTTTTGTCAACCTGCTAGGTAATGTTGTCAGTGCACCTCCAGTGAAGCGTTGGTGTTCTGTCTCGCTTGTTATTTATGTGTATTGGTTTGCTGGGGTGGTCGATATTACTTCTGGTTTTGTTCTTCAGTGGTTTGTATATCAGGTCCTGTTCAATGTGTTTGTTGACAGAGTTCCGGTCTGAATTCCAGGCCTCCAAGAATTCCCTGGCATGTCTCTATTTGGCTTGTGCTGTTATGGATGTGTTGTCCCAGTCAAATTTGTGTCCTTCTTTGTCCATGTTTATTGAGACAAGTGAGAATTGGTCATGTCTCTTGTTGGTGTTCATGTATCCTTATTGCCAGTTTTCTTCCAATTTGGCCTATGTAATGTTTCTCACAGTCCTGGCATGGTATTTTGTATATTACATTAATTTTATTGGCTGCGGGTACGGGGTCCTTTATATTGGTCAGTAGCTGTCGCAGGGTGGTTGTTGGTTTGTGGGCTACCCGGATATCCAGCAGTCTGAGTAATCTTGCGGTCATCTCTGATATGCCCCTGACGTACAGTAGGGTGACTAGTGTGTCTGGCCATGTTGTATCTTCTTGTTGTGGCCTGTCACTGAAGTAACGGCGGATCATGCTTTTTGGGTATCTATTTCTTTTAAAAACTCCGTATAAGTGCTCCTGTTCTGCTTTGCGCAATTCCGGGTTGCTGCAGTGTGTTGTAGCTCGTTCCTGATGCAGCTCCATTTATGGGTATTGGGGAGGTTGTTGGTGTAATTAAGTATCTGGTCCGTATGTGTTGTCTTTCTGAGTACGCTGGTCTGGAGTTTCCTGTTGTTCCTATGTTCCACCATTACGTCCACGAAGGGTAGTCAGTTGTTGTTCTCTTCTTCTTTTGTGAATTTTATTCCAGTTTGAATATTGTTTGTGTGTTGGTGGGTTTCTTCTAGTCTTGTGCGTTTGATAACCATGAAGGTGTCATCTAAATAGCGGATCCAGAGAATTCCTGGAGGTCTGGCATTCCAACTGGAACTCTGTCAACAAATACATTGAACTAGACCTGATATACAAACGGCTGAAGAACAAAACTGGAAGCAACACCAACAACTCCAGCAAATCGAGGCATATAAACAACAAGTGAGGCGGAACACCAATGCTTCACTGGAGGCGCACTAACGACGTTACCTAGCAGGGTGACGAAACGCCTGCAATCAAACACACCAGCTCGGTAAGCAAGTTTGCAACCTGATCAAAAAATGTGAATCCTTCTCCCCTGCACCATCTCCTCAGCCACGCATTCATCTGCTCTATCCTCCTATTCCTACCCTCACTAACTTGTGGCACCGGGAGTAATCTAGATATTACTACCCTCGAGGACCTCCTTTTTAAATTCCTGCCTAACTGGTGAGAACTTCCAGGGAGTCATAATCCTGAAAGAAAACAAAATACTGCTCTGTTCGATCTTAAATAGAAGACACCTTAAGTTTAAACTGTGACCCCAGTTCTCATGTTTTCCACATTCTTTCAGCATACACCCTGTCAAAACCTCTCCAGATCTTAGTCTCATCAGAACACTCTTTTCCTATCACCCGCCGATGTTTATCCAACCTCTTCTTACATAATTGGCTCAACCACTTAATCCTGTGGTAGCAAGCTCCATATTTTCATCATTCTCTTGGTTTCAAGTTTCTTTGGAATTCCCAACCTGACGTTTAAGTAATCATTTTATACTAATGACCTCCAGTGTTGCTCCTCTCCACAACGGAAACGCACTTTATTTTGTTGACCAAAACATTTCATAAGCTTAAAAACCTCTGTTAGATCACCTATCAAGCCCTTTCTTTTCAACAGAGAAGAGGCCAAGCCCATTTCGATAGGAATAACCTCACAATTCTGATATCCACGTAAATCTTTTTTACATCCTTTCTGTAGAAAGGGTCTCTACATTCTTTTTATAGTATGGTGACCAGAGCTGCATGGCCTAATACAAGTATGATTTAGCCAAAAATACACATTTACAAGTTCAATTCTATCCCTCTACAAATAAACCTTAGTGCTCTGTTTGTTATATTTAATGTTCTTACTAACCTGGATTGTTTTTTTCAGTAATTTGTATAATGTACATCTAAATCATGTTGTTCCTCTATTCCACACAGATTATTTTCTACTAAGCAACTTTATAATTTTTCTTTACATAACCTCTACATAACTTATTGCTGAAAAAAGACACATTTGTCAAAGCTTTTCATCTTGCACTCATCAGGACAATTCACAAGAATATCAATGCAAACAGAAAGCCCCACATTGTATAAGAGAAGATATAGATTGGTTAGCAAGTGAACTCTTATTTCGTAGAGGCATTGCTACCAAGGATGCACCAGTTAGCTAGCGAGTTAACAGTAGAGCTTTGTTTAAACCAAGCAAGGTGATCTTGATTGGTTACGGTATTGTCCTTACAGCCAAACCAGAAAACTGCTGCCACCTATTTGTCAAGTTGAAACAGACTCGGTGTGCATACATGTTCTTTCTGTCAGCAAAGAACAGAGCCCTGTATATTAATATATGGAGCTTCCAGTACGCACATGCTTGCCACACTGCAGGTTCATCTGACAATCTTAAATTAGCGGTCATCATAATTCTTAATGTACACAGGATTATTTAGCAATTGTTATCCAATCGAAGATTTACATCTAATATTGAACAGTGTTCTAAGTATTTCAAGTACAGGCTGGTTAGATGCGGTTAGTACCTCGCTTGTTGTCAACAGCCAAAGAGATATGTTGTTTAAGTTGGATCCATCAGTCTATGGGAAGTTCTGCTCACATACCTAGTATTGTACCAATACTGAAGTTCTTACACCACATTACTAATTTGCAACATAGGCAGAACATCCTTTTGACTTAACAGTAGTATCTTGTTAGTAATGAACACCACTTGTGCTGTTACTCTATTGTAGCAGCATAATAGGTTTTAACCTTCTGCTCAAACTTTTAAGATACCTTGCCTTTCTAAGATAATCTGGGTGCTTTTCGGGAGCAAATGATGGCTTTAGGCTCCTTCATGAGCCTACTTGACAGACAGTGAGAAATGATCTGATTGAGATAGCCATTCTGCCGCTGGATGGCTTTGATGCGTCCGATTTCAGAATTAAACTTGCACAATGAGTGAGCTTGGGCCCTACTTACAAGGTTGCTGATAATACCAATCTTTAGCACTTGGAGCAATAGGAATCCCGATGCATTACTGACCACTGAAAGTAGGTTTGTGGTAGACAGCAGTTGAAAAACCCATGACTGCTCCATTTCAAAGATGAATTTGGGTGTAAGATGGAGCCACTTAAGGCATGTAAGAAAATTCTTACATGTAGCTGCAGATCTAAATACAGCAAGTGTATCAATTGCATATTGGAAACATAAAAGGTGTAGAGAGGTCATATGGCATTCCACCGAAGACATGTATCTCACAGAAGACAACATGGAATTTAACTGCCTTTATCCTCCTAGTCAGTACAGATTACAGGTTTTGGAGTTGCTTCAGTGCATCTTGTATATACCACCACTCAACACTGGTGGTGTTGGGAGTGCTTATTTAAAGTGGTGGATGGAGTGCCAATCTAGTGGCTTTCTTGTCTTGGACAGTATTAAATTTCTTGAATGTCGCTGGAGCTGCACTCATTCAGGCTAATGGAGGGTGTTTCTTCATACTCTTACCATGTTTGTACCTTGCAGATTATGGTCATGTTTTTAGGGAGTTAGGTGTGGGTTAATTGTTGCAGAATTACCAAAGTTTGACCTGTGCTCATAGCCATAGTACTTGTATGTGGTTCCAATTAAGTTTCATACCTGTGGTAACTGTATAGAAAATGGACACACATCTCTCTAATATGCAGAAATATCACATTAACAAGTTTCAAATTGAGTTGAACGATGTAATAATTACAACAACTAACAAGGTATCATATAAATGAACTACATCAAAATATAATGAATTATCTAAACTATGGCATCTCCAACAATGCAACACTTCCTTTGTGCTATAATGATTTGTCATTATCAGCTTAAAATTCTGAACACTGGCCTTGAAGTAACGTTGCTGAGAACTGAGTCAAGCTGACAATGTTACAAAGTATTTGCAGCATAGAGACAGGCCATTTCACCCAAAAGGTCAGGGTCTTTATTTACTTTACTTATTTACATTTTAATTTACTTATTATACACTAGAATCAAGGCAGATAAATATGCAACATAATAATATTACTTGCCAATTTTCATTACTGTGTATTTGATGCTCTCAAGTGAACGGAACTTTCGATTTAATAAATGTAACTGCATTTACCTGCTCTGCACCTTCTGGAAGGAAGCTCTGCTACTTGATTCCAACGGTCGTCTTTAAAGTCGTAGCACTCCACACTTCGTATAGCTTTAGGCGCCTGACCACCAACCACTATCATTACCTGCAAACATAAGCAACAGATCTGTGTTACAACTCAAACAGTATCAGCATAGCTACTTGGTTATGGAAAAAATTAATTTCTTCGGTGTTGGCATTATAAGATGTCTCCATAATTTAGATCACAAAACCTACTACAATATCTGCCACCATTTTGACTTCTCGGTATTTAGGTTATGTAGCATGCAAGCGAAACAAAGCTCTCTATTTCTGTCTAAATTCTTCCTCAAATAAGCAGGGATTCCAAAAGCATTTTCGAATTTTCCACTATTTTCTGTCACTGTATGCTCTATCTGCAAAACTCAAAATCTGACCAACCTCACAGAGAATCTAATAACTCAAAAACTAACATTCAACTGAAAATTGACTGATTAAAAGCCAACAGTCTCTCTTTCAAGGCAACTGACCAAGTTAAATTCCGTTCTTTCATTGGCCTTCAGGACTTGTTTTAACCAAATGACCATTATCCATTTGTTTCATCTATAATATAGAAGGGAGTCACAATGCGAAATGAAACAGTTATGAAGTAAATTACAGCTGTACCCACATTCTATGAGCATATTATAACAAGAAAACATCAATAGTACGTAAAGGATGCAATTTTTGAAGGAGCTCTAGCAAGGTGAAATGCCCATTTGGGTCAGGGATTTTATTTCTGATCTGGTGTATTTAATAACGTTTAATATCAGCTTCTGTGGGGCTTCTGCTGATCAAAATGTTTTCTTCAATAAATTGGATTAGCTTTATTAGGCAAAAATATTTAAATTAAATTATTTCTTAAACAATTCTTAAACCTGTAAAACAAATAATTAAGAAATGAAAACTACATTTTCAAATTGTTTTTATTATTCCACTGGCCAGGCTTGTCCAATAGGTTGTTATGGACAAAGCAAAAGACTTGCTTTCACATGCCATTATTCAAGGTCAAAACAACAGATCTTCCCAAATTTTTCAAATATAATTGCACAGTTTGAAATTTGTTCTGAAGTACATTTGGCCTTATTAAAGTTCCTGAACAAACACAAAATGTATAAATCATTTCCTGAGTGTGAGAGTAAAGATAAATAAAGTCACAACAAAGGCCATTAGAATTTTTGTTTTATAAACAAGAACAAATTATTAAAAAGAACAAGCACCTTTGCAGTGCCTTTATCAAAACTCAGGACATTCCAAAGCACTTTGCAGTGGGAAATATTCCTCAAGTGTATTCACGATCACAATGGGGTGAAACACGTCAGTTAATCTGCAGTCAGTAACACAATATACTTCAGATAATCCATTTTAATTATGTTGTTTACAGGACAAAAATCACTCTCCAGTTTTTTCCAATTAGGGCCATACAAACTTTTACTTTCACCTGAAGGTGCAGTCGAGGCTTCAGTTTAACTTTTCATCCAAAATATGGCACTTTTCATAGAGCAGGATGCTCTCAGTACTACATTGAGGTGTCAACCTTGGTCAAATACATAAGTCACCAGGAAATGGGGAATTAAGATTAGTAAGTATCTCTGCTCTGTGCTTCAGTGACTAGAATTCAAAAATTTTTAAAAGCTGCAATAAGGCCAATACAACTGATCATAAGACTAGCATCTAAGGAGAACCTAGCACTATTACTCAGAATATGACAATAATAGTTCTGATCTAGGAATGTGGCCTGAACTAGGCAAATCAAGCTTTTGACCTTAAGGGGCAACTGGTGTTGAATGTAAACAACATTCTAGATCAATTGTTTATAATCCAGAAAGAAAGTGAGAGTTGGAATTTGTAGTTGAGTTAATTGATATTCTGTGATTGCTTTAAAGATAGGAAAGTTAAGGCCATTCACACTAAGCTAAAAATGCACATTTGCCTTTTAAATATTTTGCATCAAAATTCAATAAATTCACAGTATCAGATGCCATTTGAGAAATAGGAGGCTATATAAATGCCCCATTCTTCCAACAATTCAAAATGTCATGGAAAATGATGTCAAGCACAGCTCAAATTTGCTAGTTACTTCCAGTGTACTTTAAATGTAACATTAAATCGTAGAACTATAGAATGATAACAGCACAGAAGGAAGCCTTGCAGCTGGCCCTTTTTGTAGCCACTCTATGGATGAGCAACTGAGCTAGTTGCATTCTTTGCCTTTTCCCTGTAGCCACGCAATGTTTTCTTTTTAGATTTAAATAATTATCAAATTCTAATCTGCCTCTATTTATTCTCAGGTAATGCATTTGAAATCCTAACCATTTGCTGTATTAAAAAGGTTTTTTTAAAATTTCATCTACAATGCTTTTGCAATTATATTAATTCACTGTCGTTGTTCTCAACTTTTCACCAATGGGAACAGCTCTGCATTATCTACTATCTCCAGATTTTCAGCACTGCCGTCATATGTTCTCTCAATGTCCTCTCCATTAAGGACAGCTGCCCCAGCTTCTCCAATCATGTAACTGAAGACCCTCATCCATGGAGGATTTTCTTGTAAATCACTGCATCACCTCGAATTTCTTCACATTCTTCCTCCCTCTGTCCTGTATCCTCTATTCTTCATTTTCATAGCCTTTTCTCGCCCTTTTTACCAAATTTCAACATCATATCCACATGACTACAGGCCTTGCTACGGGACAGGATCTGTCACATTGTGGCGACTGTTTCCCAAGACATCCTCAGATGTCTCTGGCACTGATTCTCAGACAATATGTTCACATCCCGAAGACACTGCCACGCCAATGGCTGCCTTTGGCTACACATTCTCTACTTCGCTGTCCCTGCGGACCCTTTCCTTTGATGCTGCCTGCTGCTGGTCTTAAAGCTAAAGTTGCTGATTGGTGAGGTCCCTCTTTTGTTTCAACCTTTCCCCCTGCTCCAGAGAATTGTAGAAAATTTAAGCCCGTAAGATTGAAAGGTATTCTACCAGTGAACTGTGAGAAAAAAAGCAAAACACAATTTAAGAACATGTGTCCCCATGCGTTTTGCCCATGCAGCTGCTAAGCAGTGAGATTTTCTGCTCCTCCAGTTGCACTCACTGAAACTCCATCCATCCTACAGGCCTCCTTCCACTTGCAGCTGCACTATTGACAGCTACAAAGGTGTTTTTGAAAATATGCCTGTGAGCCCACAACCTTTCAACCATGCTCACACCTTCAATTCTGTCCCCATCCACCCTGAACACTGTCCCCCTCTCCAAAATCATCCTTAGAGTTTCCATTAGATCTCGTAACCTGCCCCACGACATTTTGAATTTTCCTACCTCAGATTGGACCTACCTCTCCACCAAAATAAAATCACTAGTGACTCTGAACATTCCATTTGTCAGCTAACACCAAGATTCACCTACATTTGGACAGTACTGCCTCACCCTCTACATCCCTCATTTTGTTTATCTACACTGTTTGCACCCACATTCCATCTGCACTACACAAAACATTCTAAAGACCTTGTCATTGCTCACTTTCATACCCTGATATTATCCTCTTCTTTTTTTATTGCCTTCTCTGGCTAACTAACTCTTAATTACCCTCTTCCTCTAGTGCTGTCTACTGCTGCCTTAGCAACATCCCAAAGGACCAGACAGACAGCAAGTCATATTTACCAGTCATCAGAGTCTAGAAATATTTGATTTGTCCCATACTGTGCTCAGGGCACTGATTTATGCTTCTGTGGAGTTGGAATCAATGACTCAACATTTAGGTAATGGTCAGCTGCAGATTCCAGTGCTTATATCCCACAAATGAAATATATAAAACAATCACTGCTAGCTCCTTACCACTGCCTTGAACATAATACTGCATTCCTTCATCATAATTAGCCAAAGTTCTCAAATAACCTGCCTGACACTATTATGGATCTCTATAGAATTGCAGCAATTGAAGAAGGCCCATCACAATCTTTGCAGAGCAGATAAGTGGGCAATGCTAGGCCATGACAGCACTACCCATATGAACAACAAGAAACAAGAGTGGGCCACTCAACCCTTCAAGCTCTCTGCCATTGAATAAGGTCATGGCTGGTCAGCTTTTAACCTCTACTCTACGTTCCTGCATATCTCAGATAATCTTTCAGCCACTCAAGTATCCAGCTATCTCTGCCTTAAAAATATTTAAAGATTCTGCGTCCACGACCTTTTGAGGGAGGGAATTCCAAAGACTCTCAACCCTCAGAAAAAACGTTTCCTCATCTCTGCTTCACTGGAGTGCTCTCTTATTTTAAAACTACGACCCACATCCCAAGAACAAATCAAAACAATACCACAATAACTGAGAATGTTTTTCTGGATGCAATGCCTCCAATATTGCTAGTTGACAAGGTCTTTAGCCAACTGTAGAGTAACACTGTTTAATCTGTCCTTGCCTAGATTGGAAGGGTATTTTTCCAATCATCTATCCCATCTTAAAATGCCTGCTAAGTGTGCATAAACCTGAAACTGCAGATGCGAAACCAAAGACTTCTAGAAAAGCGCCGCTGGTCAGTGTGGCTCCATGCCAAGAATGTACTAGCAGAAAATTTTCCATAGTTACTTCTGACCAATCTTAGTTCAGATTCGGATGGTAGTTTTAAACTAGGGGAGCAATCTGATCAGTCTGTATTTATACCTGTAGAGGACATATTAGCAAAACTACTGGTCAAGAAAATGACACAGATAGTTGCTTTTGGTTCAAACTTTAAAGCATCCTCTTTCCTACCTTGGGTAGACTGATTGGGGTCCTTGGTCTTGTGCGCGCTGTCTTTATCGCAGCTCGTTGATCAAGAGGAAGTAAATGGTATTTCATGGCTTCAATTAGGAAATCTTTGCATGTATTATTATTCTTTATCAAAGCTTCCTCTTCTACAGTCTGCATGCAGCGGGGATACACGTATGAGTCACATCAGCAATAGACAATATTGAATACAGCTTGACATTAAACAATTACCAATTGTCTCATTAAAATAAACTACACCGTGCCAGACATAACAAAAGAAGGTCCTGTAACACAGTACACCACCAACCCCAAATAGTTCTCTAAAACGGACAGCTAAAGTAAAACATTTTTGGGGGAAAATCACATTATGCCCTGCATGCACTTGGAAACAAGACAAATTTTCTAAAATGTGAAAACGGGAGTTTGATATTTAAAAGTTGACTTAAAAATAAAAACAATGCAATGCTGATTTCAGCAACTTTGGTTGGTTAGCTCTTTTTTGAATGGCACAGACCCAATGGAGTGCATGGCTGCCTTCTACGGCCAGAATTTAATTAGAAAGGCAGGAGCCCTGGCAAATAACCAAATCCACTTCAGACATTTGTGCAACTCAAGATCACCCTTTTCTACCATCCTGCAACCAGTTATTTGCCTTTAAGCTCTCTAGATTTGAAGGATGGGCACCTGTACCCTAACAGCTGCTGGCTAATCGAAGGGCCAGCCGCTTAGCAGCCACAAAGTACAAAGGCCACTAGAGGGACTGCACCTGCAAGGCAAAGACGCCATGAAAGCAAGTTGCCCACAAAACAATTAAGTGGGTCTGGGGTTTTTAAGGTCCTCAGACAAACCCCGATAAAGGGACTGGTGAGAATGTTGCAAGGCGGCTATTGCTGCCAGGGGAACCTCCAGGGGTCACACAGCCAAAGAGGAGAACTCTCTTTTCTCATACCCTAGTATCCAGGATGTTCCCTCTAAGCTACACGACAACTCCAAAGTTCTGTGCACGTTAGTGTGCTGATTTCTGGTTTCAGACATCATTATCACACACAGATCTTGGAGGTCTGCGCACTGATAATATTTCTTTAGAGGGGGCATTGCCCTGGAGGCCAACAGAGCTCATCAAACGGCCTCCCCACATGGCAGAGAGCCCATTTGCTGCTGATAAAATGCCAATGGCAGCAGGAATAGATTTTTAATTGACCGTTTGTGCCTTAACTGGTCTCTAGGTTGGAGGTCTGTCTACAGTTTCATCACTACTAGCAAAATGCCATGATAGCAGGTGGGTAATGGGCATTCCACTACCATGTTCCTCACCATTGTATGGGATCCTTCTACACTCTCACATCCAGCCATGGAAAGGGATGATAGCATCCAGGTCCATGCTTCTGTCGTAAGTTGTTCCAAATTACAAATGAAATCTGTCTTTGCTGTCAAATAGTTTTACAAGTCTTCTTCAAATAGATTTTCTGGGAAATGATTATGTGCACATATTGAAAGCAAAAACATCAAATATCTCACATGATGGAATTTTGTTCCTTCTCAACTTAGTTATTTTTTAGTTACATTCCATTTTTTAGCTAATTGTGTTTTATTTAACCTGTAAATGAAACATGCTCCTATGACAAAAAGGTCATCTTGACAGGCTCTGTCTAACCTCGGGTCCCTAATCCACAAGTGAGCACTGCTGCTAACCTGGACAAGATAATCCCGTGGAAGCAGTGGAAGGCGAACATTTTCCATTAGTTTTGCCATGTGGTCCAGGCGAGTTTCTTTGTCATACTTTATCCAAGAGATAACTGCTTCAAATACCTGCCGGTGAGAAAGAAGTAGGTGGAAGTCTGAATGGCCTGAAATGAGCATTAATTTTAGTAATCTAATACCAAATTTATGTTCCATCCTCTTTCCTTGCCACAAATCAAACCTTGTAATTATGGCCTCTTGTCTAAATCAAGTTAAATAGCTTTTTTCTTTTACTTGCACAATTCCTAGAAATATCCTAGCAATTACACCAGCGCCATGCCCACCAGTGAGCCCTTGTTGGAAGAGAACAGGAGCAGTAAGCATTTGGCAGGATAGGGAAGCATGAGCATACGCCCCCATTCCCACAATTCCCTACGCAGAATAAGTTAAAAATTCTGGTTGAGGTTTATTGACATGAAGGAGGCCAGATGGCCCAAATGAGTAAAACAGTGAAAATGAAAAAAACAAATTTAGACCTCAATTTCCACAAATCCAGGCCTTGATCCCAATGTTGCCCTAACAGGGGTACCCATTTCTGGAGTTGTTGGTAAGGTACGAGACAAGACCAGATAAGTCTCCCTCAATATCAAACCACACCTCACTGAAATAGTACTGGTAGCTTTCTAAATCACAAGGCGAAAGTTTGTGCCTTGATAGTCAATTGTGTGAAACATTACTTTGTATGACTCAGCAGTCTAACTCTGGCTTGGCAGTCTCTGCTGTACTTTCAACAGATTAAGCCAATGGGCTGAAAGGTTTAGGATTCCCTGATCTAGAGTTTTCTCTGGGCACTCTTCCAAAACTCCTTCCGACCAATTACGCTCCAGAGATGCTGGCCGTTGGCAACCATCTCCCATTTGCCTGCCACCCTCATATCTTGCTTGTAGATGTTCTTGCAGTAGAGATGTCCTAGAGATGTCCATCAGATGTCCATCAGGCCACTGACCCAGTGGAGAGCTCTCCTGACAGAAAAATTGTGTGTACGTCTGTCACCCTTTTGATCAAAGGTGGTTCCATTGCAAATCTTGTCGGTTTAATAGTGAACATATGCTGATTTAATTATAATGTTCCAGGACCTGAGAGTTAGTGGCTAGATCAAAGCAATAGGTAGTGGTTTCCTTGGTTCACAATATTTCTTTGCAGCTGCTGGGCAGAAAAGATTCTGGACTTTCCAGTTCTGACATCGCACTGGAATTTGGGATACATCTGCAGTCAGATGTAAGCAACAATGGTTGCTTTGTCCTTTCCCACAGTTCTCGACAGGGAAATACTTCTAATGTACTTGCAATTACTGCAGTTGCCCTTATTCTTGTAAAAGGTGACAAGCTTGACACCATGCAAATCCTAGGACACTGTCCCCTCCCTCCACAAAGACAGAGAAGTCTGTGTAAATGCTACTGGAGAACTAGTGTTCCATGCCTGATAATTTCAGGCTTATATTCTCATCACCTGGATGTGCAACATTATGCAAGTCAACAGATTTGCTAAACTTTTCAACATCGGTTTCCATGACAGACAGGCATGCTACAGTGTCTAAAGTTCCTTTGGTCATAGTGCTTTCCCTAAAGTACTACTCAAGTAGTGTGCCATTTATTGATCTGTTTATTACAATCAACTTTTTGTTAATTTCAATTGAGCCTTTTATTTTAAACTGATGGACCTGTTACCCTCAAGGGTGAACGGCTGGCAAGATCAAATGTACCACCCTCAACACTAAACTGGGTGCTGACGGAAGACTGGCAAGTGTAAATTTCCAACTTGAGAAAACACCTTTCTTCCAATTCATTCATAAAATAAGACATTCTAATCAGGAGACTCTATGAACCTTTTCTCTTAACCTAGGCAAAGTCTTAGAACCATCCTGTCCAACATTTCCAATCAATTGCATCTATACATTCATTATGATGTAGAATGACCAAAACTAGGCATTATATTTATCACAACCCCAAGAACATAAGAAATAGGAGGAGGCAGCCATCTGGCCTGTCGAGCCTGCTCTGCCATTCAATAAGATCATGGCTGACCTTTTTTGTGGACTCAGCTCCACTTACCAGCCCGCTCACCATTACCCTTAATTCCTTTACTGTTCAAAAGTCTATCTATCTTAGCCTCAACTACTTCACTGGGCAGGGATTTCCACAGATTCACAACCCTTTGGGTGAAGAAGTTCCTCCTCAACTCAGTCTTAAATCTGGTACTCCCTATTTTGAGACTATGCCCCCCAGTTCTAGTTTCATCCGCCAGTGGAAACAACCTCCCTGCTTCTACTTTATGCATTCCCTTCATCATCATATATGTTTCTGTGAGATCCCCCTCATTCTTTTAAATTCAAATGAGTATAGTCCCAGTCTACTCAATTTCTGTTGGGTGTTCATTAAAAAAAATTCTGACTGTGGCTCAAAGCCTTCTTTATGCATCCTATGACTTTGAGTCATTAATATTTAACTTACATTGACCAGAGGATTTTAAGACATAAAACCAATTTGGAACAGGAGGGGCCCATTCGGCCCTTTGAGCCTGCTCCATTATTCAATAGGATCAGTGCTAATCTGACATTTTTCACGTTCACTTCCCCTGTAAAATTTATTTTGCACTAGTTCATTTTGGAGAAATGAATTCATTTAACTCCAAAGTAAATTTGGAAAGGGATTAAATTGGAATTTCTTGATATGACATCACTTCTCAAAAGTTATACTCTGGTTGAGATTGCTATGGAGATGAGAGCAAGTTAATCGAAACAAAGGAAGCAAAAGCTAATTGGCCATCAAGTTACAACTTAAGCTAGAACATGCAAAGCCACAAAACTCTTGCTGGGGTCAGAAGCTGAGATAGAACTTTTCAACCATACAAGCTTCCAGAATCTTACCCCACGGCTCAAAATATTGGGGAGGAGGACTAACAGAGGGAACACCAACTACCCTATAACCATTCACGGGTCAATTGGCCACCAATTGGCAGATGGCAGAATTTTGGTTCAAGAAGCGCAGCAACTCAGGGAGCTGCTGGTCAATCAAAGGTAGTCAGCACTCTCTAGGCTGGAGTCATACAGTGCTGGATCATGTATTTGAACGTCTTGCCAGATGTCAAGCTATCAAGCTCCAGAAAATGCAATGACGGTGCTGCAGAGCTGAGGTTTGAGAGGCTATGGGGTGAGGGTTACTTGGGGACAGGAGCTCGTACCTTGGAGTGGGCCTCTACGTACATTGGTTAAATTGTACTAGGGGCAGGGACAGAACATGAAAGGGTGCAGAGCAGGTTGCTCCCAGCAGGGAATTGTAAAATTCAGCCCCTGGGAGAAGTAAACTAATATCTTTGCAAGTAGATTAGTTTTCTAAATGGTGGTGAGAATTAAAACAAAATCCAAAGGCTCTTGGAGAAAGTGATGAATGAGAAAAGAGATTGAATCCTAAAAGTGGTGCAAATAGCTCAGTCATGCTAAAAGCCTCTGACTGTATCAGAGAACCAAGTTGTTAATTGAGTGTTGTTGGTTGGTTGGTTGATTGATTGGAAAGAAACTCTGGAAAGCAAAGAAACATAGTCTGTCCTGACCACAGTAAGAATGAGGTTTCATAGACTTTTGCCTTGTTGGTGTTAACCATATCTTGGAACCTCAGATAGAACAAGCTCCCAGTGAGAGTGACTTAAGGATAAAATCTATCGAGTGGGTAAAGAGATAGATCCTATAGACCAAAGGCTGCGTTAAAGACCTTTGCAATTGATTGAGGATTCCTTTCTTCTACCCTTGTTAGTCTTTTTGGGAACTATGGCAGGGTAAAATCAATGATTGATTTATTTATTGTCACGTGTACAGAAATACAAAAGTTTTGTTTACAAACGATACAGTGATCACTCCAAAGTCCTTTCTTGGCCTCTAAACTTTTAAATTGGCCTGGATTTGACAGTAGTAGCAATGAAACTGTCACCTTCATGGTCATTACTTTGCTAAATTAACAGTAACTTCTGAAGTCCTTAGATGAACAGTTAATTGTAGAACTCTATAAAACTGCTGTTAGTGATCGTACGCTTCGTCAAAGGGTGTGTATAGGTCCTCTAGACATTACTGACCTAATAATAACTTCCACTTTTATGAAATGAGTCATGCTGTAAAATTATTGAAAAAATTACATTTGTTAAATGAAGTACAAGTGGGTTTTTAACACCATGCTAAAGTTCAAAACTATTTCTGGGTAAGCTCTCTGTCAGTGAATAACTTGTACTTATGGAATGTCAAATACAGTAAAACCTTGATAATTCAATAATGGGGGTCCACCCACAAATGGGTTAACCAGAACTTCAACAGATGTAAACAGATTTCCCTACAAACCTACTCTACATAAAAGTGACATAGTTAATGTTTCAATAATGTCTTTATTTTTGAATTTGTTCACACCGTACAATAGTCTAACCGTGAACAGTAAAAGGCATTGAAAACTGTTGAGTATTAGCACTGGAAAATCAACATTTTTTCTGCTTCGTATGCTACTTTTGGATGAGAGTGATACATGTTGACACAATCAAACATATTTTGTGCGATTTTGTGCAGCACAGAGAAATATCAGAGCATCTCTACAATCTTCGCAGCTCCAAAGAACAATACAGCACAGGAACAGGCTCTATGGCCCTTCAAGCCAACTCCTCCACCCTGGGAAAAAGCCTCACACTTTCCACTCTATCCATGTCATTCACAATCTTATAAACTTCTATCAGGTCGCCCCTCAACCTCCTGCATTCCAGTGAAAAGAAACCCAGTCTTATCCAACCTTTCTTCTTAGCTAAAGTCCCCTATACCAAGCAACATCCTGTTAAACCTTCTCTGTACCATCTCCAAAGCATCCACATCCTTCCGGTAGTGTGGTGACCAGAACTATACGCAATATTTCAAGTGTGGCTGAACTAAAGTTCTATAAAGCTGCAGCATAACTTGTTTATCCTTATACTCAATGCCCCTTCCAATGAAGACAAGCATGCCATAAAGCCTTTTTTACTACTTTATCTACCTGTGCTGCCACCTTCAGTGATCTGTGGACCTGCACACCCAGATCCCTCTGCAAAGGTTCTGCCATTTACTG